TCTTAACCTAAACTATCAGTCGAGACAAGAACCTTGAACCTGGCCAAATTGGCCTCCTGTCCCCAGAGAGAAAATAGTTCATCAGCAATTCTTGGAAGACTTTTTTTTTTAAAAGAAAAAGACTGAGCTACCAAACTGTCCTCAGGCTATCTGCTGCCTGATTGTACAGCTGACTGAAAAACAACCCTTCCCCTGCAGAACCTCAGCAACAGGCGCTATCCTGGGCAGAAAAAGCCATTTAAACATTAACCAAGTAGTGTCAATCACAAACAAATAATTAATGTTTACCAGCACAAGGCTATCTGTTTTCTGTAGCAACTTGGTTTAATCAAATGCAGATCTAAAACCTCTTATTAATCCAAAATTCATGCAGTAATTGACAGGACTGAATCATTATAATTCAGGATGTGTCATCCCTCCTCTTAGGAATTAAGTGGCTGAACTGTTCATGGAAAAAAATATGATGAACCAACACTCAACTGGGGACAGGGCTAATAAATTAAAAATCATCTGCTCTTCGCTTTCAAATCTTATTAATCATATTTAAGAGTTGAATTATTTAGCATTGCACTACAGTCTGCAGATACCTTGCATCATCTTCAAGAGTGGAACAAACACAGTGTGCGCCTCCTGTTACAGGCAGAACTCTTGAGTTCATCATTTCTTTCCAGCAAACATCAGGTTTTCTGGAGACCCCCCGAGAGCAATTACTTCAGACGTCTGGGCTTTTTAAACATTTATAAGATAAAAACGTGTACTTCCAAGGGTCAACAAAAATCTATACATTTCACACAGAGAAAAACAGAGTAATTACCGCCAACGTATTACCAAACCTCCCAGGATCACAAAACATAGCTTAGAAGCGGTAAGTTTCTACCAAAGAAGATTCCTGGTTGCGGTTACAGAAATCTTACTTTCTGCTTATTTTTTTGGGCCAAGCACATCAGCGGGGTCTCGGTTCTGGGGTCTCGGGAGGTATCCTGGAAGGCAGCACACTTCCTTTATGGGCTCAGCCGGTCTGTGAGTAGAAGCAGGAGGGAGGAGGGGAGACATTCTTTCTGAGGATGTGGCTTTCCAGACCCATTCCGGAGACATTTCCTGCTAACGCAACCTTCCCTTCCCCGAGCAGCAACACCAACCCCCCCCCCAGTCGACGGGCCGGGTTTCCGGCGTCAGGGGAGCGGGCCGGGGCAAATGAGATCTTGAGCAAATGGGATCTTCAGCACCTGATCCCCCCACTGGGCCAGAGCGCGGTTCCCAGGCCGAGAATTCGAACCTCACTCTGAACGGGGAGGTGCGGCGAGGCTGCGGGGGTGAGCCAGGGGCAGAGCGCCTCCGCAGCGCCGCGCGGCTCTGACCTCATCGACCGGAGGAGCTGCGCGGCGGCCGCCGTGAAGCCGATACTGGGGGGGCACACTGTAATCGGGTTTGCTGCCTGCCCTCTCAAAGTTATGACCTGGCCTGACGGTCGACTGTTACCCCCTGGGAAAGATCTCCGCCACGAAGGGGTCACTGGAGCCACTGAATTCCGTTCCGTAATGGACCGTCTACACTGTGTGGCGTCGTCTGCCCTACCGTGCACGTCCTGAGAGATCAGCGCAAATCAGAAATCCAATGCACACGCACAGCAGGGGGGTTTATGGTGCAGATGTACTCTAGTGGAAAAAGAGTGCTGAACTGCCCATGCTGGGCGTCTTTGCAGGGACAGCCTAGGCAGACCTCTCAGCTGTGAGCTACAATATCCCAAACGGACAGACCTCTTGGAGTTTTGCCTTCCCTTCTTAAAACTGGGTCATATCTGGGGGCCGAACAAGAGGCGCTTTTTTTTTTTTTTTACACAAAGGGTTGTGGGAGTATGGAACATGCTATCTACCCAGCCATGTGGAAGCAGACGTCCAGGCTTTCTTCAAGGCACAGCTATAGGAGACCTTTGGATCAATTAACTACAAACCAATGGGCTCCCATCATTTGAGAATGCTCTTATACATGTTCAATGCGAGAGGTAACATGCAACACTCCCAATCCCGAGGAGAGCCAGTGATGTCTGGAATGATGGCAGAGATGAACAGCACTGTGTGCACACAGACTGAAGAGCCCACACCTCCCTGTGCCAGTTCTACAGCCTGGGTGACTCATGCTGTCGTGCGGCTGAGAGCTCATGGCCTTCACATGTCTTAAGTTTAAGAATCTGATTAGCGAGAAATGAGAGATTACAAAACTACAGGGTCAGCACAAGGAATCTGCTAAAGCTTACAAATAGCTGGGCATCTGGATGGATGAGACTCACATACCTTTTGATTAAAGACACGTCATCATGTAGCACTAAGACTTATAGTGAACTGATCCCGAGTGCATAATGAGGAACAGTATAAACGTGCAAAATGGGCACGTCTCTCTCCCAGCAGACTTAAACACCGGCCTGCTTTTGGAAAAGAAAGAGGTCTAGGGACGTTTCCATGTTACCCCACAACCTTCACTTACATCAGTTTAATGTCTTCCCAATTGAAATCTCGATCTATTAGAGATTACGAGGCCAAAGCCACGTACTGAAAGTGAAAAATGGCTTTTAACCATTATGCCATTATGTTCTCTGGCCCTAGAATACCTTTAAAAAAAAAAAACGACTGTGTGACCACGTATTAGGCAAGGGCTTCAAAGATGATTAGATTTCTGGCAAACAAAGACAAAAGTCTAAATGGTTTTCTTTCCTCAAAACTCCGAAGTAAACCTTCACACTGACTGATGGAAGCACTGTTCTGGTTGTCTAAAGGCTGGTGGAAATGGGGCGACTGTATTGTTGCCGCATTCTTTCCCAGGACGTCGAGATGAACATCTCGGTTAGACAAGGGGGCATGACAAACATGGCTCCATTTGC